TTGCGGCGGTTTCAGGTGGCCCGCCACCTCTGACTACATTTCCACGTCATGTGATTATTTTTTTTTTTTCTTTACTGAAGATGCTTCTATGATTGTGAGCTGGTGACACTATGCCATGTGTGGAACTGGCTGCCGTGAGCCAGTATAACTAGTCGGCATTGACTAGATTAATATGGTGTACACATTTGTGGTCGACTGCGTGTGTCTGTGCAACTAATTATTACTCTTAGCACAACCTCCACACTGTCTTGCTTTTGATTTTTCAGGAAGATACGGTGTTTTCCTTTACATCGGCATTTAGGCCTATGTTTCTTCGCGCTTAGAGGCAATAAAAAGAATCTTTTCTCCTAGGCTTCCATAATTATTTTGTCTATGTATACTAACAGTTAGTGACTCCGCACCCAGTTGTAAGATTGTATACTTTAAATCATTTATGCTATTATAGATGACGATAACTTATCGTGAACCATATTATAAATGTGATTGCATTGCTGTTAATTAGGCCCGAACTGTGGAATGTATGTAAAGCTCTATAAATTTGGGCGCCGAGATTTAATAACAATATTGAGGTTCTACTCTTTTCATATCTCATATGGGCCTGAATGTTTGAAATTTCTATCGATGATAACTAGATTCTAGCGTTTCACGGCTTACTACGGGCCTCGGCCGGCCTTAATTAATTCACTTGTTATATATGCATATATATCTGGGTCTTCTCATTCTAAATTTTTCTACGTAATCTACTCTCGATATTAATTTCAATTTTTATTTTTCTATCGAACTCTATTTTACTTTCTACCGAAATTTATTTTATTTTTCTACTGAAATTTCCGCAGCATCTCCCCTAAAAATTGGACTATCCACCTGTTAAGATATCAACAGTTCATCAAATATTTCAAACCACACAGCCTATCCATCGGGCAATCAATCAAGTCAATTTCTCCCATCCTCCATATTTTCCATATCAACATAAATTTATAAATGTTTCCCTCCATATTTTCCACATACTCAACATAAATTTATAAATAGTCTTCTTAATCTATATATCATCATTTTCCTAAACAATTTATTTAATTTACAAGAATTAATCCTTAATTATTCAATAATTTTTATTAATCAATTGGATCAAACACTAAAATTAAATTAATTAGTAGATCTAACCAAAATTAAATTCATTTAACTAATCAAAAATTGCCTAAATTAAATTAACTTAGGAAGATTACTAAAATCGATTTAACTTCACTAAAATTCTACCTAAAATCCAAATTAAATCAAACTAAATTATTAAAATCAAAACTAAACATGCGACTAAATTTATAATTAACTACCATGAATAAAATTAAATTAATTAACGAAAATGCATTTAAATTAATTTATACCCCAAATATAATTTTTTTGTCGAATTTCTGCTAGATCAAAAATTTCCACGCGTGCCGGATCGGAGAGCAGTGGCTGTTGGTGGTCGGAGGCGCGCTGGAGCGGCGGCTAGGCGGTGGCGTTGGCGCGACGCTTGCTCGACCGAAGGCAGAGGGAGGTTGGTCTGCTCGTGCCGCGCGATCTGACCCAGTAAGCTGGCTGAGGCGCTGCGAAGTGGAGCGGCTGGACGTGGCGCTGGAGCTGCGTGCGGTGGCGCTCGGTGGTCGATCGCCTCTGCTGGAGCGGCTGGAACACCACGCCGACGCAGATCCAAGGAAGAAGAAAGGAAAAGGAAAGAAAGAAGAGAAAGAAGAAGAAGAAGAAGAAGAAGAAGAAGAAGAAGAAGAAGAGAGAAGAGAAAGAAGAAGAAGAAGAAGAAGAAGAAGAAGAAGGAGGGAGGGGAGGTGGAGGAGGAGCGGCGCTGCTCCTTGCATGCGCGAAGAAGAAGAAAGAAGAGAGAAAAAAAAAATAAAAAGAAAGGGAGTGATTCTTAGAGGTTTCAACCGGCCATTCCGGTTCGATTCGAACCCGGTTTGCGTCCAACCGAAGAAGAAGAGAGAAAAAAAATAAAAAGAAAAGGAGTGATTCTAGAGGTTTCAAGACCATTCCGGTTCGATTCGAACTGGTTTGGTCCAACTCAATGATTTAGCTCGATTCTTATTTGATTCGTAGGTTTTTCACTTGGTTTTCAGATTATCCGTGTGGTTTTCGAGAAATCGCTTTGATTCCCGAGTTTGGTTTGATTTAATTTAATTATTTAGTTAGGTTAGAAAACATTCCCTTCATTTACTCAATAATAATAAAAAAATAGTAATAGTAATAATATTTGATTTCAGTTTATATACCAATTACATACATAATCATTTATTTAAAATCAATTAATAATTTGTATCCTATTTTACTTCATCAACATTTTAAGCATTGTCCAATCGAAAATCCCGAATAATCCGTTTTGGGCTTGGGCCCAATTCAAATTGACTCAAAGTTTAAAATTGCTCGATCGGTAACAACCCGGGCCCAATTCAAATTTGGACTCAAAGTTAAAATTGCTCGATCGTAACAACCCATACTATCAAAAATTTAGATTTTTGATTTAATAAAAATTCCAAAATTTTGAAAATAAAAATTCGGAGTATTTCACTTACACAGATAAAATTTATAGAGACAAATACAATGATTTAGCATTCTTTTATTTTTTTTTCACTTCATTTGTGAATAAAATCTCCAAAGTTTTTTTTCCCACTTTTATAAAATCAAATTAAATCAGTTGTTTTATTTTAGTTATAATCGATCAATGAATTTATCTTATTTTATTTAAAATTAATAAAATAATAATTAAGCTAGAAGTTAATTATTTTGATTTAAATTTCAATAATATATATTTTTCACTATTTTTTTTTTAAAACTTTGAGAGGACATTGACCTTCTAAGTTCAATCAATTGTGTAGAATTGAAAGGCAGGGATTGTGCTACAGCGATTATTTTACAAACATAATTTAGCTAATTAATAATTTGTCTGAATGCAAAATGATGTGATTATGGAGGCAATAATAATTTTTTTTAATTGAAAAACAACCATAAAGCAACTTAATTAGATAAGTAATTAGACATCTCATCTTCATCTTTAGCATCATTTACACACATGCGAGCTTCTAATGTCACTGCTCATATGTGCAAGTCTATGTATCACCAAGAAGCATCATTTTGATTAGAAATAGGTTTCAGAAACGATTTCCTAGGTGTTGGATTTTTTTTTTTTAAAAAAAAGAAAAGGAATTTCAACATATTAATAGCATCCAATGGTGGATTAGCTTTAGTGATATTAGGTAAGAATGACACAAGATCCCATAGGGTTGATTCATGCATGCAAATGCAATCCTGAAGATAAGGAATATGGCCCATTATGTTATTTTGGTGCAAAAATGCACACTAGATAACCCACAAAAACTAGGGATTGCGACAGGTGATTGGCCATTTTGTAAAGAAATATACAGCTACTATACTACTTTAATTTCTGAAAGAAAGGACTCCAAAAATTAACGTTTTCTCAAAGAAGGAAGCCAAAACACCAACCTGTAATTTATTGTCTGATAATTACAGCAATGTCACGTTCATCAGGCTCTGAATAGAATCTTTGGCTACTATTTTCATTTATGTTTCTATGCCTACTATTTCATTTATGTTTCAGTTATATTAATAGTTACTTGCTTGTTATAGGAACATGCACTTTCTACAAATTTTTGAAAGTTATATCTTCTGTTTTTGTACGTAACATTAACAATAATTACTTTTATGATTATAATCAGACAGAATAGTGTTTTTTGCTTTCATTTTGATTTTGAAATATCGAAAAGCCAAACGGTGATAGAAAGTTGCGCTTTAATTAGGGAACTAAATGGTTTTCCCAACCAAAATTTTTCAGCAAAATGAAAGTGTGGTGAATAGCATTAGAAAATGTATTTTTTTAAAAAATAAAAAATGAGAGTAATAAAAAATGTTGATGAGGAATGATTTGAATTTGTACAGGAGGCCAAATATACACACAATACAAGTTAATTTAATATGGATTTTTTTTTTTTTGGAAAAAAAAGCGAAATATAATTTATAAATCTGATATTAAAATCACTTTTATAAGAACTGCCTGTAATTATAATCCTTGTCAATTTTGGAAGGATCTCATTTCTAATATTGAACGGTTGCATCCTCGTGTTGCTATTAGATGTACGTAGATGTGTAAAGAATGTCGCCCCAAGCTCTAGCTTACCGGATTCGAGTTCAGCTCAATTAAAAGAGCCAAGTCTGAGCTGAGCGCGATTTCCAAGTTCAGGCTCCCTTTATAATAAGAAATAAAAAAAATTATTGAAGTTTGTTTACAAGCTTGGACTTGAGCTCAAGCTCTTTTACAAACTTGTTTATTATTATTAAGCAAATCCGCGAACCAACTTGTAAGTCTCATTTAAAAGCTTGGGCTCAGGTCATTACGCTTACAGAACGAACCTTCTTTCATTTGAGCTGAGCCGAGCTAAGCCATGCTGAAAATAACTCACCGGTGGCTTGGCTCATTTACATCCCAATGCTCAGGTAGCCAGATTCCTCTCGCAAGCACACAAGTAAATGGATGGTTCTATTAATGACAAAGGGGAAAAAAATTTAGAAGCAGAAACCAATCTCTCACCATATATTGTTGCCTTCTCCATTGCAAATCAGACCACTAACGGCAGTAAATGATGCATACAGCAATAATAAAGGAAATTCCTTTGGGATTAATCTTAAGGCTACAATTTTTTGGGACATCTAAAAAATATAAAATCAAGAACCATAAGACCTTTAAATATGCCACTTTCCTTTGTGCTTCTGATAGATAAAATGGATAATGCATTTTAGTAAATAAAGGAGTTGATGGAGAAGTGCAGATTTTTTATTTTTAATATATATACTGCCTTCCACCTAGGGCTGTAAATATATATGCCAGGGAAGAGGCAAGCCCGAGGTCAGCCAGAATATTTTTTTTCAACTCTTAAGCTCATTACAATGAGTTCTTGGCGAGTTCAGGCTGGTCCATTTCAACAACTTTGTTTGCGATCTTTTTCCTTTCTTTTTTTTTTTTTTTTGCTACATTAAACTCTCTCCATCATATATTATCACACAATATGTGAATTCAGTAGTCTCTAAAGTACATTTATGTATTTTGACACACTAGTCTATCTCTTATTGCCAAAAACAAAAAAGAAAAAAAGAAGCAACAAAAGCACTTGCATAGGTTTCTGCATTTTACATACCACTTGTATGTGATATTAAACAAAAAGGAAAGAGAAGCTAACATAAATCCAGCTGCACAGCAAGCATGCCCAGCCTCAGTTTAATCAACTTTACTGTGAAACACTTGCCAGTTGCATAAGTTTAAACAAGCAATCCACAGGAAAAATCCAAAAAAGGGGGCAATTTATTATTTTTCTTCCTTTCACCACCCACCCTCCACAACATAATAATAAGCCACAGAACTCTAACCAACAAACAAGAACCAGAATTGTTGCATATCCTCAGAATTTGTTTTTCAGAAGTTCCAAAAAAAAAAAAAAAAAAAAAAAAAAAAAAAAAAGCTGCCATTTATCAGGTAGAGAAGTAGAACATCTCGTTACACAGCTTTTCCTTATATATTAATAGCCATAGCATGGAAACACTATTCAATAACATAGTAAATCCCACTGAAGCAAATCAATGCAGCTTAGCAAAGCATTTTATTTATTTTGAACAATAATTGTGGGCACTCCTGGTACATAATGGTGAAAAACATTTGTTTCACTATAGTTTGGAGTGAGAAGCTTCTGTAAGGTTTATCTGTTCTTTCTCTGGCAACTCAGATGTGGTAGGATAAAGCAGTGAAATTGCCAAATGCACATGGAGGAATTATCAAGAACATCATCCGATGGGAAGGTAGGAATTAAACCCACATTTATATACACAGTTTCAGAAGGAATAAACTGAATATTGCCCAGAGGTACAATAGACTCAGCTGCATCTGGGGGAAGGATAATAAAACTAGGTTTCTCTTTGCAAATATGTATCTGGGTTGTGGCTGGAATTTTTAGAATTATCTAAAATCAACAAGGACTTGGTACAAAAGCAAACAATACAATGCAAAATAATGCCCATATAATGCAGACAACTAGTTCTTAACATACCACATGCAACTATGGACTTAGCTAGAATATCTGGACTTTCCAAGTTAGGAAAAAATTTTGATTCCTGAAACTAGCCAAATAATCACTAAATCAAAATCAAAACTTTCAATCACCAAAAAAAAAAAAAAAAAAAAAAAAAAAAAAAAAAAAAAAAAAAAAAAGAACTTTCCGACGACAGAAATAATTCATATACAGGTCCTCACCTCTCACTCTGGCCTTCCATTATCAGCCAGAAGAGCAGCTGTATTACAAGTGTCTGCATCCAAGACTGCCACATTACATGATCCGAGGGCCTAAGAATTAACAAAATATTGAGCTGGAAGTCTAGATTGTTTCCTTCTAATTTGAAGCAGCAAGTGGAATCTCTGAAAGGGAAGGAAAAAAACTTCACCAACATTAATCACATGAAACAATAAAGAAAGACTTTAATTGGCTCACCTGTGCCACTTCGAGACTGGGTAACAAACTCATGAATATACTCCAATCCTGAAACATATGTCTGTATTATGAAAATATCAGGACTTGTCAAAATGCGGTCGAAGATACAAGAATGCGAAACAGAGGAACAGTCCTTACATCTGTAGTTGATTTTTCAAAACCAGAATATGGAGGTCTTACAGCAATATCTACAGTGGCAAATAATGGGTAAGAATTTTGCCAATATCAAGAAATTGAGACAGTTGAGGCTCGGCTAGTTGGCTCTTCCTTTGCAGTTGCCTCAGATTTTCCCTTCCTGGGTTGGATCTTTACTCTAGGTTGAAATTTGCCACCACCGATTTCTGCACCATAAATTAATATCAACTAGAAGCACAGAGGTTATTAATATAACAGTGCTAGTTACCATTGCTTATAGCAGGTGGAAGAAGATCAATATCAACAAAAGGTCCAAAAAATCAATCTGTATTGAATTTACCTATAAGCAACGTAATTTTCAACATAAATGAACTCCAAAAACATCCAAATGCAATATGCAATAGGAAAGAAATTGAAAACCAAATTTCTACCTCTCTAACTCTATTGCAGATTCCCCAAAGTCATAGTTCCTTTGACCATAGTTTTCAGATTTTACATCCACATCATCTTTGCAGCTCATACCCTCTTTGGGTGCAAGCTTTTTGGATGAGGTTTTGACTAATTTCAACTTGTTATCATCAGGAAGTAGAATTTCAGAGGCTCATTCCTCGCAATACCCAGGTGATATTACGATGAATAAACTAGATCCATAGTTTTATCAAAGATATCAACATATTGTTACTGTTGGGAAATTACGCAAAATTTCCTATAAAACTAAATTAGTGAGAATGCCAAATAAAAGCGGAATAATAACACACACAAATTTAATAACGGAGTTCGGCCAATTCTGCCTACGTCTCCGGAGCTGCTGCCAATTCTGCCTACGTCTCCGGAGCTGCTGCAGATCTTTTACTAACAGGAGAGAAATTATACAAAGTGTTTACAACACTTATAACCCACAACTCAATACAAAATGTTTACAACACTTATAACCCACAACTCATAAATTCACCCAAGAAAATTACTCTCAATTTTCTCTCACCAAAGCTTTTCTCTGTGAACTCTAGCTAATGGATTTCTCTCTGACAATGAGTTGATATAAAACACTTATGGAAGTGCTCTATTTATAGATGCAGAATTTGGTGGTTGGCCAACCATCGCCTTAATTTTCTTTGGTTGTTGGTGTGACATCCCAGGTTTGGGGCACAACACCTTAGGCGAATCCCACATCAGCTACGCACAAGGTGGAAGTCCTATACATAAAGGGTGGCAACCTGAGTAAAAAAAAATGATTTCAAAATCTGTCTTCACAATTGATCAATACAACAGCTTTTCGTTTTGTACTTTAGCAAGGCCAACTTGAAGCTTGAACACACTTCAGCTTAATCGATATCACTATCTTTGTTAACATATCTGCCGATCTTACTTTCCTTGGTCTTCTCCAGTATTAACCACATCATCTTTCCAATAGAGATCTGCATGAAGTGATAACGAAGTCAATATGCTTGGTTCTGAATGAAATGCTGAATTCTTTTGCCAAGTGTATTCGCACTTGACTATCACTTGTAAAAACATTCTTCTCTGTGAATCCCAACTCTTTAACAAACCTTGAGCCATATCATCTCTTTGCTGGGGCTTCTGTCATTTGCTATATTACTCAGCCTCTGTAGTGGGATAAAGTGACGATCTTCTGCACCTGCTGGACATCCAACTAACAGCTGTAGATCCGATAGTTGAATATATAACGTAGTTGTGAATATATAACCGGTAGTGCTTCTTCGATGATCGACTTCACCTCCAAAGTTTGCGTCCACATAGCCTTGTACTCTCAACTCTCCCTTATCAAAGTATAAACACTTTTCAATAGTGCCTCGTAGATACCTCAAAATCCACTTGACTGCTTCCCAATGAATTTTTCCTGGGTTGGACATAAACCTGCTAACAACTCCCACTGCATAGCCAATGTCTAGTCTCATACAGACCATCACATACATCAAACTCCCAATAGCTGAGGCATAAGGGACCTTACCCATGAAGTCTTTCTCTTCCTCCGTCTGAGGAGATTGATCCTTGGATAAGTGAAAGTGACTTGCCAAGGGTGTGCTGACTGGCTTGGCGTCACTCATATTGAATCTTTGCAAAATACGGTTGATGTATTCTGCCTAAGATAATTGCAAAATTCCTCTTTGCCTATCTCTCGTGATTTGCATTCCAAGAATCTTCTTAGCTGGACCCAAGTCCTTCATATCAAACTCTTTTGACAATTGCTGCTTCAATCTTTTTGACAATTGCTGCTTCAATCTTCTAATATCATCCATATTTGAACCTGCTACTAACATATCATCAACCTAGAGCAGTAAAATGATATAACTGGACCTGTATCTTTTGAAGAAGCAACAGTGGTCGGCGTTGCACTTCTGGAAGCCTTCATTGTGCATGAAACTGTCGAACTTTTTGTACCACTGTCTTGGAGCTTGTTTCAGTCCATCTTAAATTGCACTTGCACACCATATTCTCTTTTCCTTTTTCTGAGAATCCTTCTGGCTGGTACATGTATATCTCCTTATCCAAGTCTCCGTGAAGAAACGTCGTCTTTACGTCCAACTGCCCAAGGTAGAGCCCTTTACCGGCAACAATACTCAACACAGACCTGATTGTATTGAGTTTTACAACTGGTGCAAATATGTCGGTGTAGTCAACTCCTTCCTTCTGTTGGAACCCATTTGACTACTAGTCGAGCTTTGTATCTCTTGGAACCATCATGTTCCTCTTTCACTCGATACACCCATTTGTTGTGAAGTGCCTTCTTTCCTACGGGTAACCTTGGAACCATCATGTTCCTCTTTCACTCGATACACCCATTTGTTGTGAAGTGCCTTCTTTCCCACCGGTAACTCAGCTAGTTCCCATGTTTGATTGGAGATTAAAGACTTTATTTCATCTTTCATGGCAAGCTCCCACTTGCTGGCATCTTCCGTTTGACATGCTTCCTCAAAGCATTTAGGTTCTCCTCCATCTGTTAATAACAAATAATTCACATATTTTCTGTTAGGCTTTGGAGGACGTTCAGACCTTCTTAAAGCTTTTGGAGGAGAAGTTTGTGGTGTGTCGGTTGATTCCTCTGATTGAGGATCTTCAACTAACTCATTCGACAGACTTTCTAGGATATCATCCACTTCTACAAACACTGGCCCACTCTGCACTCTGCTCTGAGTCGCTGGCAACTATGTCATGTCTGTTCTTGTACATCATTCTTTGAAGACCACATCTCTGTTGCGGGATCACTTTCTTATTTTCTTCATCCCAGAGGCGCGTATCCAAACTTCATCTCCGCCATAGCGATGAAAAATGCATTTCTTAGATTGGGATCAAGCTCTATTCCTGCCATGATCATCTTATATGCACATATGCCTACACAACCGAAAACTTCTTAAGTGTGAGAGTTTTACTTTTCCTTTTCCACTTTCATACTCTTCTTTGGTATTTTGTGCTCCAATGGTACCGATGGACCTCGGTTGTATTAAAATAAGCTGCCTTGTGTTGACTGCTTCTTTGCCCAGAACTGCTTTGGTAAGCCCTGATTGTCACGTAAGCTCAGCTCTTTTCTGTAACGTTCGATTCACCCAGATCCCATCCATGCGCTTCAGCTACACCATTGCTGTTGAGGCTTGCCTGGCAGGTTTCTCTCCATCTTGATTCCATGCGCTCATAGAAAGAACTTCTTGGAACCTGGTGTCTTCATATCACCACCATGTCGGTTCTGAGCTTTTGATTTTCAGTCCCGGTCTCCATTTTTCAACCATAGCTTTCCAAATTTTGAAAAGCATCAAATTACTTCTGACTTATATATTTTAGAAAGTAAACCCAAACTTTCTGAGAGTGATCATCAATAAAAGTCACAAAGTAGTGTTTCCCACCAATGGATGAGACAGTAGTTGGTCCCCACACATCAGAGTGTACAAGCTCAAGTTTCTCCTTCTTTGGGGTTCTTCTATTTATCTGAAAGCTGACTCTTTTCTGCTTTCCAAATATGCAGTCTTCACACATGTCAATTTCATTTGACTGAAGACCTGGTAGTTTTCCCTGTGAGTGTAGAATCTTCATTCCTTTCATACTCATATGGCCAAGCCTCTGATGCCATAAATTGGGAGTTTCACAGTTTCCCACTGTTTGCTGCAACAGCAATGGCAACAGCAATGGAATAGCTTGCTCCTCCTGTGCTGTAAAGAGTACCACTCTTACTTCCACGAGCAACCATCATTGCACCCTTTGTAATCTTCCACTTACCACCGTGGAAGGTTGTTGTGTAGCCTTCGCTGGCCAACTGGCCTACTGAGATTAAGTTATTTCTTAGGTCAGGAATATGTCTGACATCCTTCAACTCCCATGTAGACCCGTTCAACCTAATCTTCACAACTCCTTTACCAACAATATTACATGGTTGGTCATTACCAAGGTATATTTTTCCAAAGTTTCCGGGGGTATACCTTTTAAGGAGTTTTTTTTGTGAAGTTGCATGGAATGACGCCCCGGAGTCTAAAACCCAAGACTCCTGCTTGCTTCCAAGATTGCATTATAAGTGCCATCATCTTCTCCTGAGTGGAGGCAACATTGCTTTCTAACTTCCCTCCTGGTTTCTTAGATGCGATTCTTGCACTGATTTTATAGTTGCCCAGTTTTTTCCACATCCACAATTCCAACATTCGATGGTCTTTGTTCTATTGAAATTGCTAGGATTCCTGGATTTGGACCTCCTGTCCTTTGACTTGCCTCGGTAGTTCGATCTACCGCGTCCATTCCCTCTGGTTGAATTTCTTCATCTCGATTCTGTATGCAAGACTGAAGAAGTTGAAGGTTCACTTGACTCTCTCCGTCGGATCTCTTCACTGAGAACTAAGTCACGAACATCATCAAATTTTAACTTCTTGCTTCCGGACGAGCTACTCACAGCTGTGACAGTAGCATTCCAACTTTCTGGTAGGGAAGACAAAAGTATCAATGCTCGTACCTCTTCATCAAATTCTCAAATTCAATTTCAACTGAACTCAATTGGGTTGTCACTGTATTGAGTTCATTGAGATGTGATGTTGGGCCACCGATGCGTTTTCCCGTCATTTCGTAGATGAATAACCGCCTCATCATGTGAACTTTTATTTGCGGCCGGATGGCTTTTCGTACATATTGGAAAGAGCCTCCATAAGACCCGCCGTGGTCTTTTCTTTTTGCTATGTTGAGGCAACATTGCGGGCAGCAGGGTTAAAACGAATAAACCCCGAGTGCTTGTCTGTCTTAGAAGATTCCAATCTTCTTCCTTCATAGCCTCTTGGCTTCTATTCCGGGAGAGAGGTTGGAAAAGACCTTTCTGATACAGATTAATCCTCTATCTGCATTTTCCAAAAGCCAAAATCTGCACCATCGAATTTTTTCAAATTTTCCCACTTTCCTTCATCCTGCAGCCCCATTCTGCAGCCATTACTCCCACTCGAGTCTAACTCCGCCTTGATTGTTAGTATACGTGAATAGTAACCGTATACGTGAATAGTAATCGTACACGTGAATAGTACTATATGTAAATAGTAATAGTACACGTAAATAGTACTATACGTGAATGCTAGGCTGAATAGTCACGATTCAGCAACAGTAACGCCAACAGTACTGTTCACCACCAACTTTACTGTTTTACTATTCACCACTAAGTCGATTCTGCAACGACTTTCCGAGCGGACAACACTGATAGACTCGTCGTAATTTTCTCGTCGTCGTGGTATATTTATTTTTGAAATACATCCACGAATCCGGTACCGCTATCTGACCGGCTGGACCTGCCTTACGCGCTCTGATACCAGTTGTTGGGAAATTACGCCAAAAATTTCCTATAAAACTAGATTAGGTGAGAATTGCCAAATAAAAGCGGAATAATA